CTTTGATCACATGAATAAATTACATTTTAAAATATATTCAAATAGAAAGCAGTTATTTTAAATAGTAAAAATATTTCAAAATGTTACTGCTTTTGGTGCATTTTGGATCAAATAAATGCAGGCTTGGTGAGCAGAAGATAATTCTTTAAGAAACATTAAAAATCTTGCAGTTCAAAAACCTTTGACTGGTAGTGTAGGCTGATTATTCTTATAGATTGAAACGTGCATTAACCAGGATAACGAGTATGAAACATGCTCCGAGTTGCTTCAGAAAACAAAAAAATAGAGCAACAACAAAAGCATGTTGCTGGAAATGGGTTTATTATTGAAAATGCAAACTGCTTGTCTGCCAGCAGGAGGCGCTGTGAGAGCGGCAGAACTAGCGGGTTCTCCAGTAACGGCTGTAAACAAAGCAGCTCCGCTCATGAACGCTACTTTATCAGATAAAAATGCCATCTAAACTATTCTGAAGACAGTCGGTTCCCTTCAGAGATACATTCATATAAAACACCCACGACGCGTTATGATTTTGAAACGTGCAGTGCTCATGTTTATTCAACGAAGTCAAACGCCACAAATAAATCAGTGTATGGGAAACACTGGTAATGTATATCGAAATATCGGAAATGTGTTTAAAATCATATCACCGTTATTGAAAAAAATTATATCGCGATACATATTGATATTGAATTATTGTCCAGCCCTAATTTGACATGGTTCAAATTAATGTTTTCCCAAACCTGCCAAGGTTCATTTGAGAACGTTTACCAGCCATAAATATTTCTTGCTGGCATTACAACTGTATTTTGCATTGTTTTTCATTAAAAAAAATTTGTATGTACTTTTCAGCTATATCTAAGTTAATTTCATAATTAGTTTATCAAATTTTAATGAAGCTTTTTCCTTTTACCTTTTTATTTCCTACCTTTCTCCTTTTTAAAAAATATTTCATATAAAGCACTTTTACCACTGTAAATGAAATGTGCTATATAAATAAATTTGCCTTGCCTAAAAATATTTTTTCCTACCTGGAAGTTATATTATTTAGCTGTTTTTGTCACTCGCAGGTTCGTATACGTCATATTATGGTTTTGTTCTTCATCTTTTATATATTTAGTGGTTTAATGTGAGGAATATTCCACAAACTATGGAGAAAAAACATTTCAGATGATAACTTTTTGTGCAGGTCATAAATGTTTTCGTTAGCAGACGGTTTGTATCTTTGATCCCTCATAATTTATTTTTAACAGTTTATGATTTATACGTAAATTAAGGTGAACATTAGTGGACAGACTTTTTGTTCTAAAACAAATTATATACCATCAGACATAAAATTTGAAGCCATTAATATAAAAGTACTCATTCATCAAGCACGTAACATCCCTGAAGAAGTTGTGGTCCTTTTTTAGCAAAACAGCTAAATGTTATCCACTGATCGTTTTTTATTTATAAATCCAAAACCGCTGCTCTAAAAACCTATTTTATTGTTGGTGAATTAGCCCTCCGGATTGGCCTACAAATTGACTTTATGAGTTCTATTTGACGTAAACCATGTAAGTTCCTAATAAAGTTAGATTTTAGTAGGAAGTTAAAGGCCAGTGCTGTTGTTTCCTCAGCTGTTTATTTGCATAATTTGGTTAGAAGCAAAACACGCTGCTCACTGTGCTCAAGTTACATCTTGGTCTATAGTGAGAGACATGCTGTGATGTTATTAAGGCATTGTTTAGTTCTCTATCTAGGTGGGTTTCAGCGCTGCTTAAAAACCCTCATTTGCTTGTTTGTGTGTGTGAGAGGGAGTGAGAGTGAGTGAGTGAGTGAGTGAGTGAGTGAGTGTGTGTGTGTGAGTGTGTGTGTGTGAGAGTGTGAGAGTGTGAGAGTGAGAGGGTGTGTTTGTGTGTGTGTATATATGTGTGTATGTGTGTGTGTGTGAGTGAGTGAGAGGGTGAGAGTGTGAGAGTGTGAGTGTGTGAGAGTGAGGGGGTGTGTGTGTGGGAGGGGGTGTGTGTGTGGGAGGGGGTGTGTGTGTGGGAGTGTGTGTGTGTGAGTGAGTGAGAGGGTGAGAGTGTGAGAGTGTGTGTGAGAGTGTGTGTGAGAGTGTGAGAGTGAGAGGGTGTGTTTGTGTGTGTGTATATATGTGTATGTGTGTGTGTGTGAGTGAGTGAGAGGGGGAGAGGGTGTGAGTGTGTGTGTGTGTGTGAGTGTGTGTGTGAGTGTGTGTGTGAGTGTGTGTGTGAGTGTGTGTGTGAGTGTGTGTGTGAGTGTGTGTGTGAGTGTGTGTGTGAGTGTGTGTGTGAGTGTGTGTGTGAGTGTGTGTGTGAGTGTGTGTGTGAGTGTGTGTGTGAGTGTGTGTGTGAGTGTGTGTGTGTGAGAGTGTGTGTGAGAGTGTGAGAGTGAGAGGGTGTGTGTGTGAGTGTTTGTGTGTGTGTATATATGTGTATATGTGTATGTGTGTGTGTGTGAGTGAGTGAGAGGGTGAGAGGGTGTGAGTGTTTGTGTGTGTGTATATGTGTGTGTGTGTGTGTGTGTGTGTGTGTGTGTGTGTGGCGCTGCCTTCCATTGCATTGTGAGTGTGGTTCCTGTAGGCTTCTGTGTACTGTGATAAGAGCAGAGGAAATCCTGTCCATTCCCTCTCTGCCTTTTTTTTTTCCTGACCTCTGATCCAGCTCATTGCTGCCCGTGGTGACCAATGCTGTTTGGAAAATAACTGCAAAAACGCGGATCCATTAAATGCAGCGCTTGTCTGTTTCCTGCTGACAGAACCAGTGTGTTTCCCTCACAAACGTGCATGAGAGAGTCATCAGACTTTTCCCTCTCAAGCTCAAAGATTGTTGATCCATCTCAAACCGGTTTAGGTAGTCATTAGTCCATCTAATGCTGTGCTTGTCCTCCTCAGGTGAAATGGACCATGGAGGTGCTGTGTTACGGCCTGACACTCCCGCTGGATGGAGACACGGTTAAGTTGTGTGTGGACGTCTACACTGACTGGATAATGGCCCTGGTGTCTCCGAGAGACTCTATACCCCAGCCCATCATTAAAGAGCCTAACCTCTACGTCCAAACCATCCTCAAACACTTGCACAACCTTTTCCTGCCCAGGTGTGTTTGGCATGTGGTTTCAAATACCCATGATGCACAGTGCATGTAAACTCTTCCATGACTGCATTGATGAACACTGCATACTGCACACTTTATACTGTACACTACCTACAGTCATTTTTATTGCACAGTATGCAACAGTCATTTCAAACATTAGTGAGATTTATTTCATGGAGTGGTGTCTACTTATCATCTCATTAAATAAAAAAACACATAATAATTTTGTACTTTTTTTTGCAGTTTAGTGTAAAAATGTCTAAACTCTTGCAGCCGGATTATCATCATAACGTATCAATTCAATAATATTCAATACAAACTGACTCAAACATTTAAGTATTTTAATAACAAGATTTTTAATTAGAACAATTTAAGGGGGTCTGAATACTTTCCGTACCGTATATATATATGTGTGTGTGTATATATATATATATATATATATATATATATATATATGTATGTGTGTGTGTGTATATATTTTTTTAATCATTTATTTTATTTATAATTGTGTTGCGTGTTTTAAGATAATGATCACAGAAATCTGTAATGAAATTACAGAAATGCTTCTTTTTCTAGTCAAAAATCCTTTTTTTTTAATCTCAGCAGACATGTATGTGTAAACCCAGGGTCACATATGCCGTATTTTCCTGTTTTAAGATAACGAGTGCAGAAATGTCTAAAATTTGCTTTGCTTTTCCATAACCAAACATTCTGTTTGTTTTTTTTAATCAACCACACATGATCAGATCTCGATGAGTGTTTTAAAGAGATCATATTCTGCACTTTTGTCGCATTTTAAGTTATTATTGAAATGTTAGATTTTCAAGGTTTCTTACAAGCTGTCGTAGTTTGTTTTTATCGTATTTATTGTATTTAAATGTGCTCATCAATTTTCAAATCAGCTCTACAATACATTTTTAAGAAAGTGATTCAACAAAAACAAGCTGCACGTTTCTCTCCCTCAAGTGCATTTCCAAGTGCCTACGGTTTTTGTATAGAAACATATGAACACCAGACTGTCTGACGGATATCGCCGGTCGTGTCTCCTGTAGGTGGAATAGCAGAGAAGCTGGCCGAGAAGTTGATCAGCGTGCTGTTTGAGGTTTGGTTCCTGGCCTGCACGCGCTGTTTCCCCACGCCGCCCTACTGGAAGACGGCCCGAGAGATGCTGGCCAACTGGAGACATCACCCTCCGGTGGTGGAGCAGTGGAGTAAAGTCATCGCTGCTCTCACTTCCAGGTACTGTAGCCCTGCATCATCGCTGCAGCTTTGTTTATTTCCTCGTTTTATAGTTTATTTAACAGGGACGATACAGAATATCATTACTGCACAGTGTTGAGCAGCAGATGTTATGGGTCAAAGATGAAAAGGGGTTTTCAAGCATCGATGCAAATAAATGTTTAATACAGCTTTAATATTTTTTTGCATGCATCAGTAAGTGTCCTGTTAAATTGTATTGTTTTCTGAAAAATAATGACTATCGTACATTTTTACCATGAATTACTGAAATGTCGTTTAGTGTAACAATAGTTCATATACCAAGAAATCTTGTCAGGCATGTTTAGAACAAAAATCATTAGATGATATTGAGCCTTTGGTTAATATTCTCTCTTCATTGAGAGTCAAGGTAACCACAACTTAGAAGATCCAAAAAGGTCATGAAGTCGTAAGTTTAATCCCCAGTGACCTTTTGACCTCAGGATGTTGCTATATGTGACCCTGGACCACAAAACCAGTCTTAAATGTCAGATTTTCAAAATTGAGATTTATACATCATTCGAAAGCTGAATAAATAAGCTTTCCACTGATGTATGGTTTGTTAGGATAGGACGATATTTGGCCGAGATACAACTATTTGAAAATCTGGAATCTGAGGGTGCAAAAAAATCTAATCAAAGTTGTCCAAATAAAGTCCTTAGCAATGCATATTACTAATCAAAACTGAAGTTTTGATATATTTACAGTAGGAAATTTACTAAATATCTTCATGGAACATGATCTTTACTTAATATCCTAATGATTTTTGGCATTAAAGAAAGATTGATCATTTTGATCCATACAATGTATTGTTGGATATTGCTACAAATATCCCCCAGCGACTTAACACTGCTTTTGTGCTCCAAGGTCACAAATAGCCATTAAGTCAATCGAATTTACATTTATGCTTGTGCATTTGACAGCTTTTATCCAAAGAGTCTTATTACATTAATCTATGCATTCCACGCTCTACTGTTTGAGTTACAGGAATCGGTAAAGTAGACAGCCTTTTTACTGATGTCGATGCTTTTGTTTGCTTGACCTTCATCGTATTTGTTTTGTTGTCCACACAGGCTGCTGCGGTTCATGTACGGCCCGTCCTTCCCTCCGTTTAAAGTGCCAGAGGAAGACGCCAGCCTCATCCCCGCTGAGATGGACAACGACTGTGTGGGTCAGACGTGGTATCGATTTCTGCACATGCTCAGGTCTGCTATGTTCATATGCTTACTGTCTCAGTCCGCTGGGTCCATTCTGATCGTAGTCACTTACATAAGTTGTTCGTTTATCAGTAACCCCGTGGACCTGAGCAATCCCGTCATAGTGAGTTCCACCCCAAAGTTTCAGGAGCAGTTGTTGGGGGGAAACAGCGTTCCTCACGAGGTCATTCAGCACCCCTGCCTCAAACAGCTGCCTCAGATCTTCTTCAGAGCGATGAGGGGCGCCAGCTGCCTCGTGGACGCTTTCCTCGGTAAGATCACATTGCAAGGGTCTCTTTTTGGTTTTTTTATTCTATTAACATGATATTCCATAAAGTAGCATATAATATTTTAAATTGCTCTTTTATGGCGTTTAGGGCTGCTCGATTAATCAAATTTCTAATCGCGATTACAATTATGGATGCCACAATTACGTAATCGCTCAAAGCGGCAATTAATCGTTCAAAGTCCACTTATGTTATTCTGCACGCTTAAGATATTTTTTTTCTTTCTACGTGGTTTTTCCATTGTTTTAGTTTTAGTATAACATTTAGAATACCATTCATATTTTTACTTTTTTTATAATTTAAAGAAGAAACCAATCCGATGTATAGTTAACATTTGAGGCTTAATACTATAGAAAAGCACTAACGTTTTTTTCAGTTAGAGTGTTTTCAGCTTGTTTATTTTCATATAAAAATACGGCATGCAGTTGCATCAAACAATGGTATAAACATAATTCAATGTAAATTGTGATAATCGTAATTAATAATCGCAATTACAATTTCAAGGGAATAATCGACAATTATGATTTTTGTCATAATCGTGCAGCCCTAATGGCATTTCAGCAATAGTCAAGGAAGCTGATATTAACAAAACAACCAACCAAGCTACTAATCTCAGATGCTGTTTTAGTGTTTGTGGTGTGCTGGTCATTTGGTCTGAATCTCAGTCGACACCGGCTTTGACTGTTTTTCCATTTCTAGGTGTTGCTGTTTGTAAGAAACTCGAGTGTCGTGAAACTCTGCCCTCTTCTGGTACTCATTCAGCAATTCAATGCTGTTCTCTTATCATTGTCACGCTTAGCCCTTTTTCCTCTGACATGGTGCTGGAAACTGCTTCACATGTGCATAATGTTCATTTAATTAACACCAACTCAACATATTCCATTTTCTTTCCCAGTCCGTCTGAAATTATTTTATTTACAATATCACATGTTATTGCTATGCATTTTATTTTTTTAAATAATAAGGTACAATTTTGGAATAATTAACATAATACACATAAATATGAAGCAGCACAACATTGATACTAATCAAAAAAGGTTTCTTGAGCAGCAAATCAGCATATTAGAATGATTTCTGAAGATCATGTGACACTGAAGAATGCTGGAAATTCAGCTTTGCGTCACAGGAATAAATTACATTTTACAATATGTTTTACTTTAAAAATAGTTATTTTAAATTGTAATAATATTTCACAATTTTACTGTTTTTGATCAAATAAATGCAACTTTGGTGGGCATAAAATACTTCTTTCAAAAACTTAAAAAAAAATCTTAAATAGTCCTCCAGACTTATTTAAAGAACCTCTAATCATTACATCAATGCCAGTTTGTGATCATAAAGAAGCTGCATCAAATTGCTTTGGATGTTAAGATATGTTTTCAAAACTAGGCTTAAGACTTGTTGAACAATGATTGCAATGCAATATGTTTGATTCAGTGGTTCATGTTGAGCACCAGCACCATTTCGATGGAAAAGTGGTATCAAGTCAGTCTGTAAAGTAGATTGTGACTGTAACTTTATTCCAAAAGCAGAGCACAGTCTGGTTTATTGGAGTTTTGGTTTAATTATAAGTTCAAGCATGTTCAGGCGTTTAAACTGAATAGAAAATAAGCTTGATTTAATTAATTACTTCATACAGACAGTATTTGAGATGCTTCTGTCTGCTGTTGAATGCAGCAATTAGTTCTTGTTTTTAAATGAATATTTAGTCAAAATTTGTCATGAGAATTAATTATGTCTGATTTCCCACTGCCTTTGTGACCAGACTGTCACATCTCCGTATAGTTAGTTGTGATAGTTCTATATCATAACTGCACATGCTCGTGGTTTGTTCACAATAACCTGACGTGTTGTGTCCATATGAGTTTCTAACATTTCTTCAGAGGTCTTGTTTTATGTTTTCTCAGGAGTCACAGTGTCTAGGAGCAATATTCGAGACAGACTTCCCTCTATAGGTACTCTAAACCTGTCCAAACCCAATCAGTTAGTGACTAACAGTGGGCTTAACTACCCAACACACTGATTCTGGAGGTGTTTGGGTGCAACTCGCATATCCTGATTAGGGACAGAAATAAAAATCATTTTCTAGCTGGAGTTTCTAAAATTATGTTCATAATGCATGTTGTAATTCTTCCTTTTTGAGGTTACTGTGTAATCCCATTTTTTCCCCAGGTGTTGCTGTATCTCGGAACAATTTTCGAGACCGACTCCCATCTTATGGTATTTGATAACGCGCCTCTGACTAATCAAGAGGGAGTTTGATGAGGATTGTAGATACACGAGCACTTTTAGATCAAAGATCCATGTGTTGTGGAAATCAATCAATTATCCATTGTTAATTATCTTGTTAATTGCCTTGTTTTTGCTTCCATACAAGAGTAAATCGTTGCCCAGAATGAATGTGAACATACTTATTGATTGGTACCCAGTCTGCCTCTATTCCAGCTGTCCTTTGTTTAGACACAAAATCAAACTGGCATTTAAATGGCACTTTGATTTAAAGACCTCATGAAATTAAAGTGTGGCATTTAGTTGCTGTCTGTAGCTTTGAGATTATCTAAAATTCTAGATTATATCACAAAACATATACAGTATATGCATGTTTAACATTTTTTAAATTAAATTTAAATTTAAAAATGTTTTTAATTTAAATTAATTTTTAATTTTAAAATTCATTTTAAATAGAAATAGAACAAAAAATATAGATTTAAAAAAAAATAGTTTATATTTTTTATATTGTAATAATTTTTATATTACAATATGTGTGTATATATATATATATATATATA